ACTAAGCCAGTGTGGACTGATGAGTTGCTACAACAGGTTTTCCTGGAGTTTCTGTGTGGACTGAGTCACACTTCTTCCTGTGGCTCCAAACAAGTCAACTGCCACCAGTTGCTCCTAGAAGCCATCTCATGACCATGAGGGGAACCCACAGCTTTAGGATGAAGTTGAGCAGAAAGACAGAAAGTACCCAAGCGCCTGAAGACCTCACTGGGCCACGGACCATCCAACCCTGAAACCTCTGCCTTCCTGTTAGACTTTCCTTTACGAAAGGTAATACATATTTCATTATTGAGGCCACTTTGAATCAAAGTATTTGTTAACTTGTAGCTAAAAATCTTCAGGCCAGGCCCAGTGACACAGGACTATAATCCGTGACACAGGACTATAATCCCCGGTACTTGGGAGGCTGAGGCAGGAGGATCACAAGTTCAAGGCCAACCTGGGCAACTTAACAAGACCCTGTTTCACAAAAAGAAAAAGGGCTGGGGATATATCTTCGTGGTAAAATGCCCTTGGATTCAATCCCCGATACTGTTAAAAAAAAAAAAAAAAAAAAAAAATCTCAGAATTCAGTATGGGAACAGAAAGTCTTTCGAAGAAATAAAAAGAAATGGGTAAAAAAGGTAATCAGTTTAAGAACTAGGTTTTGAAAGATTAGATTATCTCTTTACAGATGACATGATCTGTATAGAAAATCCTAAAGACCCCACCAAGAAACTTAGAATTAATGAATGCTTTCAGTAAAGTCCTAGGATGCAAAATCAACATACAAAAAACAGTTACATTTCTATATACTAAACAATAAACTATCTGAAAAAGTAAGAAAATACTCCCATTTCCAATAGAATCAAAAAGAATAAAATAGGAAAAAAGTTAGCCAACAAGGTAAAATATCTGTACAATGAAAACTATAATACATTGATGGAAGACATTGTAGAAGACACAAATAAGTGGAAATAATAATAATAACCTGTGTACATGAATTGGAAGAATTAATATTGTTAAAAATGCCCTTACTATCCAAAGTAATCTAAGGTTCAGTGCTATCCTTATCAAAATTTCAATGATATTTTTCACAGAACAAAAAAAAAAAAATCCTAAAATTTATATGAAGCCACAAAAGACCCCAAACAGCTAAAGCAATCTGGAGAAGGAAGAACAACACTGGAAGCATCACACCTCCTGATTTCAAATTATATTACAAAGCTACAGTAATCAAAGAGTATGACACTTGTAAAAAATACAAACATAGACCAATGGAACACAATAGAAAGTCACAGAAATGAAACCCCACACATACATTCAACTGAGTTTCAATAAAGGCACCAAGAATACACAGTGAGGAAAGGGCAGAGTCTTCAATAAAGGGTGTGGGGAAAACTGGGTATTCACATGCAAGAAATGAAACTGGACCCTTAACTTACACCCCTTGCACTATACCCAGAAATCAGGTCAAAGGGGTTTAAAGGTTTTTTTAATGTTTTTATTTGTTTTAATTAGTTATACATGACAGTAGAATGCATTTATGCATTTTGATATATCATACATAGATGGGATTATAATTCCATATTTTTCTGAGTGTAACTACAAATCTTCTAGAAGAAAACATAGGAGAAATGTTCCATACTATTCATGTGATTTTTCAGATATGAGATCAAAAGCACAAGCAATGAGAAAAAAAAAATTGACAATGGGATCCATCAAACTAAGAAGCTTCTGCACAGCAAAAGAAATGCTCACCAAGAGGAAAAAAGCAACTTGAGGAATGAAGAAAATATTTGGAAGCCACATAACTCCTACAGCACTAAGCCCCAAAGTACATAAGAGACTCATGCAACTCTTTAGCAAGGGAAAAGTTAAGAGAGTAAAAAGAAAATGTTTAAAAATCATATATCTGATAAGAGCTTAATATACAGAAATATAAAAAACTCCTATAACTCAAAAAAATAATTATAATATCAATGCGATAAAATGGGCAAAGGATATGAATAGACACTTCTGCAAGGAAAGTATGCAAATGATCAGTAAGTATATAATAAGGCTCAACACTATTAGTTATTAGGGAAATCAAAATCAAAATTTAATGAGATACCATTTAAAATCTGTATGGCTAAAATTTTTTAAAATGGAAACAAAATAACACATGTCAACTTAATTTTAGATGCACAAAAATCCTTAATTTTTATGAAGTCTAATTTAGCTACTTTTTCTTTCGTTGTCTGTGCTTTTGGTATCATTTCCAAGACTTTCCCCAATGTCCTCTTCTATGAGTTCTGTATTTTGGCTCTTAAGCTTAGGTATTCGAGTTAGTTTTTATGGTAAGGATCCAATTTTATTTTTTTTTTAATGTAACTATCCAGTTTTACCAGCACCATTTGTTGAAAAGACTCTTCTATCTCCCATTAAATGGTCTCAGTATCCCTGTTGAAAATTGATCAATAAAAAAAAAAGAAAATTGATCAATTATACAATTATATATATCAGAATTTAGTTCTGAGCCGGCATGGCGGACACACACTTATAATCCCAGCAGCTTGGGAGGCTGAGGCAGGAGGATCAAGAGTTCAAATTCAGCCTCAGCAACAGCAAGGCCCTAAGCAATTCAGTGAGACCCTGTCTCCAATAAAATACAAAATAGGGCTGGAGATGTGGCACAATGGTTGAGTGCCCCTGAGTTTAATTTCCCATACTCTACCCTCCAAAGAGTTTACTTCTGACTCTCTATTCCATGTCTTTGGTCCATATGTTAGTCTTTATGTTAGTACCATAGTGTTTTAATTACTGTAGATTTAAAGTAAAATTCAAAATCGTAGAGTGTGAGACTCCAATTTCATTCTTTGTCAAGATTGTTTTGGCTATTCAGGAACCTTTGTAATTCCATATGAATCTGAGGATCAGCTTTTCCATTTCTGTGAAAAAGGCTATTGAAATTTTGATAGGGATTATGTTGCATCTGTTCATCACTTTGGATAGTATTGACATCCTAACAATTTTAATTCTCCTATCCATGAATATGGGTTATCTTTTCATTTTTAGACCTTCTTTAATTTCCTTCAGCAATGTTTCTCAGTTTTGAGCATACGAGCCCTCCACAATATGACCTGGCAATTCTACTCCTTGGTGTATATCCACAAGAAGTGAAAACAGTGTCTCAAATGTATATCACATACCCATATTTATAGTAGCACTCAGTGGCAAATACAATGGCACACTATTCGGCTGTAAAAGGGAATAACATTTTGACATGTACTATGACATGGATAGATTTTGAAAACATTAGCCTAAATGAAATAAGCCAGATATAAGACAAAAGTGTAATTGCACTGACATGAGTTACTGTGAACAGCAGACTCACAGAAACCGAAAGACAGGCAGAGGTTTCCAGAGGACCACAGCGCTGTTGTTTCTTCATTGGGTAGAGAATTTATATTGGGAATGATGAAAATAGTTTTAGAAATAAAGTGATTATGGTCATACCACATAGGGAAAGTATTTTATGTCACTGATGATAATATAAGGGTAAAATATCATATTGATGGACAAATGATATTGTGTCTGTTTTATCACAATTAATAATGATAATAATAATGGGAGGGCACTCATTATTTGAACTTGTGGCTTCAGATCAATTATTCCAACTAGGTAATCACGTGGCGCTCTCTGGAGAGCCAATACAGAACGAAAGACTGGGCACAACCCAACACAAAAGCCAATGGGGCAGGGACAAAGTCTGGGCTTAGTGAGAGCGAGAGCTCGCAGCCAACGAGTCACAAACACCAGAAACTTCTCAGAGGCACAACTGAGCTTCTCACTCGGTCTAGAAGAAGTGGTGGCCCAGATGCTGGGGCCAGGCCTCAAGCCAGCCTCCCAGGGCCCCTCGCCTCCCTCCATTCGGCCACACCCGGGCCCTTGTGTGCAGTGACACTTGGGTCTGAGACTTAACGATTTAACCGAAAACTAAACAAGGAAAGGACTGAGGATGACCAGGAAATCGCTGGCCATGCTCCTCGCTCTTCCACTGGGGAAGGGATTCCGGGCCGCGAGTCCCTTTCCGGGACGACGGTGGATCCGGCTGGTGCAATCCGAGCGCGGGACTCGGGCGCTTGTGCAACCCAAGGGCGGGGAGCCTCCGGGGCTGCCCCGGCTCCTACCCGCGCTCGCTCGAGGTCCAGCCCCGGAGCCCGGGTCCTCGCTGCAGCCTCCTCCCCGTCCAGCCTGGGGCCGAGATTCGCCGCTGAAGCCACGCGTCGCACCGAACCTGCAGCAGGCTCTTCCCCGCAGCTGGTAAACTGCCCCCACCCCGAACCCTCGGAGCTCAGGAAATGCAGCCCCCAAATCGGCCTCTTTGGTCCACTGATCCCTTGGAGCCGAAGACCCCAGCAAAACAGCGACTGCAGGAGGGGCTGGCTCCGCCCTGCCCCCTTCCGCCTAAAGACAGAGCCTCCAAAAGGAGTTCACTTGCATCAGGGAGTTTCGTCCAACTAGGTAATCAGATTAACTCGCACCCAGGTGAGACTAGAAGTCAACACACATTCAGATGAGCTTTGTCACAAACTGTCATTTCTTCTAAGGACCCCATACATCTTTTCCCTCTCCTCTCACTGGTATGAGATGGTCTCTTTCTTTCCTATTCGCTCCCACGCAGGTAATAAATTTGCACACTTCGTTGTTGAACCCAGAGGCGCTTTACCACTGAGCTACCCACCCCTTTTTATTTTTGACCTAGGGCCTCGCTAAATTGCGGAGGCTGGCCTCGAACTTGTGATCCTCTTATCTCATCCTCGCGAGTCACTGGGATTACAGGCGTGCACCACTGCACCCAGCTAAATTTATGCCCCTTTTAAAGCTGGTGTTCACCTGCCAGCTGTCCGTTTATTTCATAGACTCAGTAATGCAACCCTCAGAGGGTAGAGGGAGTCTGCCCTCCCCTCCACCCTGCAAGGTACTCCCTCCACCCGCTGCTGCCCCCCACACCCTCCCAGCACCGTCCAAGGAAAAACCTGATGTCCGGGGATCCTCCTGGATCCCGACCCAGCCTTCCGCAGGGCGACAGTTCTAATCAGCTGGAGCACGCAGAGCAGAATGAAAGTAAGAACGTCGTCGTGGTGGAATTTTTTTATTATTGTTGTTCTAATGTTAGTAAGTGAAACCTTAGTTGAAATTTGCATTGTACCATATGGTTCTCTCCCCACAGAATTTCAGTACCCCTTTTCTTTCTCCGAATTGCCAGAAAGTGTACAGTACCCTCTGGTGGCAGGAACTTGTTATGGCACAGTCCCCTTTAGAAGTAAGGTTGAATAGGCCTTACCTGAAATATTTGGAACCAGAAGTGTTTCCGTTTTGATTTTTTTAAGATTTTAGAATATTTGTGTGTGCATAATGAGATATCTTGGGGAAGGAACCCAAGCCTAAACATTAAATTCATTTATGTTTTATGTTTAGCTTGTACACCTGGCCTGAAGTTAATTTTACACAGTATTTTCAGTGTCTATTTTGATGGGACAGTGGCTTGAGGTTAGAGCGAAACTTTAAATTTGAGGCCTCATTTCAACTTCTCAAAAGTCCCAAATTTTGGAGCATTTTGGGTTTTGGATTTTCAGATTTGGGACACTCCACCTGTGTCTAGTAATACCTCCTTTTGTAATGCATCCTGTTGCCCATCCTGGGAAAACAGAATTCCTTTCTCCAACCTCTAACCAAACACTGCAAAATCAAGGTTATAAGTGCCATTATTTCCTCCTAAATAAGGGTGAAATAGCATAAGGAATAGGTGTATGCGATGAGCTCCATATTGGGCAGTTCATGTGCCCACACTTGGGTATATAGTCTAGACAGAGAGAGTTCAGACTCTGAGGAAGCCCATATTTTTAATGGAAAAATGAGTTTTCCATTTCCTTAGGTCTCTGAGACCTTCCTTACATTTAGGAATCCCCAAGGCCGATGTATCCCTGCCCACTTGGATTCTCCCCATAGACTGCAATGCCCTGAAGTGAGCCTCCCCCACAGAGCACCTCAGCTTCACCACCACAGGGCAGGATCCAGGAGAGGCTGAACCTGCAGAGCAGTGAGGGGACACTTGGGGCCCCTTGGCCGACTTCCATGAGGAGCACACAGCTGTTGGCCCACAGCTTACCCAGAGGGTTCTCACTGTGCCAGTGTCTTTTCCCAGGGCATCTCAGTGGGGGATTGACTAGAGGGAAAGCCTGAAGTTATGGGGTAAGTGGACAGTCATCTTCTAAATGGAGAAGTGGGTTTTTAAAGTGAATGTTGTCAGGGGACAGAACGCCTCCCCCGCCTACAGCATCCCAACAAATCAATGAAGAGTGTCTGACCTTGCCCTGGAGGCAACCAGTGCTGCGAAGGTTTTTCTATGAAATGTGCAGTTTGCATCAGATGCAAAGACTTTGTGCACTCATGAGGGGTCCCACATACGGAACAAGGGGTGTCTTCTCAGACTGATGGCCATAACTAACAGGGCGTAAGGCTCTGGCCCCAGGAAATAATGTCTAACTAGAGCATGGCCGGGTCCAGCCAAGCATCTGGATCGAGCCCAGCAGTGCCTGGAGTTGCTCTGGTTTCTCCTGCCTCGTGAAGACGACAGCGGCCCGCGTAAACAAGAGAACTTCATGCCACCATCCCCCAAAATTGAAATCCCAAGTAACAACAACAAAAAAAATCTTAGCATTTTTCTCCCCAGCATGAACACCAGGACTTTTACAAATTCCACATATTTTACTGGAAAAATGTTTACTGTGATCTTCTCAAAGTTTGTTATCAGTGCTACATTTGGCCTTTTTGAAGAATATTAGCTATGGACCACAATGTTCTACTTCCATCCCCTGTGAAACATCACAAGGTCTGTCTTCCCAACCTGTGTGTTCTGAGACCCTTTCTGCCCAGCTGCCCCAAAGCAATTCACGAAGGTGAATGAGTTGTATTCCTGCTAAACTCTTCAAAAAATGTAGCTGGGGATGTAGCTCACAGAGCACTGCCAAAAAAGAAAAAAAGAAACAACCTTCAGGAAAATATCAGATGAATTTATTTCCATGTTTTTATTCAATTCATTAATGAGGAAACCAGGAAGATACTACAACTGACTGGAAGGAGAAATTGAATAACTGATATTTGCATTGTCATTCAAGTTAAGGAAGGCTGAAGAGAATTTTCTAATATAAGCAAAACTGACTAATCCCCTACTACACAATAAACTGTCTGAAGTCATTTTTACTTCCAGACAATAATCAATGGCATCTGTCACACTAATCATTTTTTTCTATTTCAATTCACTTGCATTGTTAAAGTCAAGAATCATTTACAAAGTTTTCAAACAAGAATCTTTATATTATCATCAGTTTTCTGCAAGCTAACCTGTACCTCTTAGACTTAGAAAATACCCTGGGAGGGATGAGTCAATAAAATAGAAAGCATGCACTGAAGGAATACCTGGTAAGATTATTAGGTATTTTCTCAATTTTTCTGACAATGTATAAATTTGATATGTTAAGAAACTAGGAGACAGGTGCAGTGGTACACACCTGTAATCCCAGCAACTTGGGAGGGTGGGGAAGGAGAATTGCAAGTTCAAGGCCAGCCTCAGCAATTTAGCAAGACCCTAAAAGCAGCTTAGTGAGACACTGTCTCAAAATAAAAAATAAGAAAAGGCTGAGGACTCAGCTTAGTGGTAAAGTGCCCTGGGTGTGACCCCTAGTACCAAAAAAAGAAAAACACCAGGGCAGGATGGTCTCCATTCTTCTCCTTTCTGGAATCGTGATTGATGTCATGCCAAACTCGTTTATCAATTCCAAGCCCACAGCTTGTTTTCCCCATAACACAGGTGCTTGCTCAGGTGTGTTTATGCTAGTGATGGGCCATCTGAAGACCCAGTTAGCCAGGCCGACATCCTAGAGAGTACAACATAATTGTAGCACAGAAAAGTGCCTGGGTTGGCCCTTCTACAGACACACCAGCATGACCCTCAAGCAAACTTTTTCAATATGAGATTAGATAGTAAATAGTTTAGACTGTTGTAGGCCATAAAGTCTCTGTGGCAACAACTTGACTCTGCCATTGTAGCATAAAGCAACCTTAGCACCTAAGCCAATGGGTGTGGCTGTGTCCCAATAAAACTTTATTTACAAAACAGACAGTGGGCCAGGTTTGTCAAACCCTGATTAGAGAATACAGAAGTCATTGATTCACTCAACAAATATTAGCTGCTTTCCAAAGACAGCCATCTCCAGACAGACTTGTCCCTGCCCTCATCACGTTGCTGATGAGGCAAAGAAGGCAGTTTAAACAAGAAATTTTGGCAAAGTATATTGGCAGAAATGGCAGGGTAAACAACCCTAGTTCAATGGGGAAAAAAATGACAGTCAAGTAATAAATATTTATTACAGTGCTGAGCTTGAGGTCTCTACAACATAGCTAAGCAGAGATGTGATTTAGATAAGCGTTATTAAGTTCAGAGCTCAGAAAGCCAGTCTGGGCTGCACCTTAGATTTGGTGAGTAGGCTGAAGCCTTAGGAGTAGGCAGCATTGCACAGGAGATGGGTGTGGCAAGAAGGACAGCAGGAGTGTCCACACCAGCCCTTTCAAGCCTGAGAGTGCCCCTCAGCCACATGGAGGGCTTCTGAAAACAGACTGCTGGGCCCCGGGTGGGGCCCAAGAATCTGTGATTCCATCAAACTCCCAAAGAAGAAACATGTAGAATTACAGTCAGGTTTGGGGGAAAGGACTTTTAATTACAATAAAGATATTGCTGTTCCCAACAAAGAAATAGAAACATCTTTTAAAAGTACAAAGTGCTGACACTTTGGTCATGGAATCAAGAAATAAGCCCAGACTACAAAAGAAAAAAAAAAATCATGTCATCATCTTCATCGTCACTGATATAGACCCCAAGTCCATTTCACTGATGTTAGATCTCATGGACTATCTAACACAGAGAAATAACACCTTTCATGAGGCTGGATAGCTCTCGGACTTCTGTAAAACATTCTTTAAAAAATGTTTAAAAGTTCTTAAAAATGCTTAAGAAGCAACCTCAATGGATGTTGATAGATGAAAAGAAGTTGCTATGGCAAAAAGGATACTAATGTGTAAATCCTCCATCCTTGGGGCAGCTCTAGCCCTTGACTTAAGTTGAATGTGACTTTTGTCACTATTGCTGCAGCCAAGAAAATTATTTAGTTACAACAGGTCCTACAAGAGACAAATCCCAAAATATTAGTGAAAAGTTACAAGAAAAGGTTTTGGAGTCAGGCAGCCATGGGTTTCATTTCTAGACCTGTTATTTACTTCAAGTGACCTGGGGTATATTACTTTATGAGTTTATTTCCTCATATGAGAATGATAATAGGTTCTGAGATACAGGTTTAAAATTTTTCCAAAATAAGAAGGACAGAATGCCTGTGGTGAGTGCCCAATAGTTTATAACTTTTTTGTCATTATTTCTATTTTGTCATTATTTCTATTGTTGTTTGAAGAAGTGAGCAGTTGGAGTGCTTAATTAGTTCATAAAGTTTTCAAGGGACTTTAATATCTTACTCTAGAGTAAAGTGATAAAACATGAAACTTAACCTTACAGAAGAAGCTTAAAAGAATGACCCAGGAAGTTTAATGGCTTTTATAGTTTAGTGTAATGAATCATCACAAGAAAGGAGCACACTTCCAAATCCCTTTTCACCTGTAAACAACAGGACAGGAAAATGCAAAGGCAGCTAGCAGAGAATCCTAAAGAGAAGCAGAGAACCATGCAAACAGAAAAAGAATCATTTCCATTTTTATAAATAACTGGCAACAGGTCTTTTTGCAGAAAGCACTGGAGCAGAACCTTCTCCACCACAGTTGAAAAGGATTTTGAATTAACATGGAATGGCTGCAGGTACGGGGTCCTAGTCATCTTTCATCACTATAATGAAATTCCTGACACAGGCTAATTACAAAATAAAGGAGATTCATTTGGCTCACAGTATGGAGATTCAAAGTCCAAGCTAGGGCAGCACCATTGGTTTGGCCTCTGGTGAGGGTGGTAGTTGGTGGCACATCATGGCAGAAGCATGTATAGTAACAGTCACATTTCAAAAAGGAGACCAGAGAGGACTAGAGGACTATGTTTGCTCCTCTCATTACAATGCTCTTGCACAAATTCAAAGGGTTACACGAGAACTTCCTCACACCCAATGACTTAAGGAGCTACCTGTGGGCCCCATTAAACCATTTCAGCAACTCCCAGTAGCACCAAGCCTTCACTCACAATGGACCCCTGGGGAACATCCAAGCCAAATCACCTAGGGACTGAAAGTCCCAGCTACACAGTGCCAAACATGGCAGGGCACAGTCTCTGCAGGACACAGGGAACACAGATAAACCATATCAGGACCAAAGAGAAATCCAGGTAGGACCAGAGAAATGACAACTGCAGAAAGCTGCTTGGGTGAGTTTTGACTCAAGAAGAGGAATTGGAAGTCCATCTTAGTTCTTTCCATACCCACTAATTCATTTTCTGCCTTTCACTGTCTTGTCTTAGAGAATCTTCTGGATGGTGTCTAAGACAGCCACATTGATCAGACTCTTAGTAGAATCCACCTCAATGTGACGCCTAGAGACTGCTGTTGCCATTGTCTTTCTCAATCACTTGCATTCTTCCTTCTTTTAAGACTTTTTTATAATAAAGAAAAAATAACTAGATGAAGACTTTAGCCTTCTAAACTATGTAAGGTTGCAGGGAGAAGTGAGGAGAGGGGAATCGGAGGAGCAACCTGCAAACAAATTTAACCCTGCCCATCATGCAAATGACAATGACGGATCTCCAGGTGCACGGAGACGCTAGAGGACACTGAGGAAAGAGGTGTGTGTTTGTATGGAAAGACAGTTACCCAAGCTTGGTTTGGTGGGCCTGAAGAAAGACGAATTCGAAGAAAACACCTGCTTCTAATGAAGCAGCTATGACCCAGGAGAAAAGAAAGAGGCCTGGCCAAAAGCCCTGCCCGAGCTCTGTGCAGGGACACAGGAGCAGGTCCCAGGATCAGGGCCTAGGGGAACCCACACTAGGCCTCAAACCTTCAGGCAAAGTTTGGTTTTTTGCAGTTTCCAACAAGAAAGAGACATGCAGAGTGCCCAGGGGAGGAAAAGGAGTGTAGATAAAGGGTAAATAAGAACTCATTAGGACAGGCTGGGGCTGGGGCTCAGTGGTAGAGTGCTTGCCTTGCACACATGAGGCCCTGGGGTTGATCCTCAGCACGACATAAAAATGAAGAAATAAAAATAAAGATATTGTGTTCATCTACAACTAAAAAAAAATTTTTTAAAAAATAATGCAATAAGGAATGAAAGTCTTCCAATAATCCCCAGAGACCTACCTTTAATGGAATAATGGCTCAAGCTAATGATTATTCATTCTTTCACTAAATGACTAATTATCCAGCCCTGCGATGTGCCAAGTGTGGTGTAGCTGGCTCACAGAGAATCTTGAAAAGCTAATGTACACTTCTCTCCCCAACTCCACATTTAGGGATGTCATGTCGAGAGTTCAAAATCAACTGTGGTGAAATATTTGCACCATAGTAATCAGCAAATGTTACAAATCAGTGTTGGTTGTTTTTGTTTTTTTTTTCCCCAGAGAGTTGATTTACCAACATACCATCCGCCTACCACTGTGTGGTAGTGGGAAGACAGCAGTGAGCAGAACAGCAAGGTCATTACCCTAAGAGAGCACCTGTTCTAGGAGAGGAAGATCAAAAAAATGATTGATTAACAAGCTATTTTCAGATGGTGAATAGGCTGTGAAAAAAATAAAACAGGTGACTTGATCAGCTGCAGGGGTTGGCAAGGTCTTTAAAGGAAGTGACACTTGAACTGTGTCATAAATTTGCAAGTGTGGGCCGGGGTGCAGCCTGGTGGCAGAGCGCTTGCCTCGCACACACAGGCCCTGGGTCCGATCCCCGACACCACATAAAGAAAATAAAAAATATTTCCAAGAGCCAATCTCGCAAACAAACTGGGATATATAGAACAGAGTCTCTATAGACCAGAGACTGAGATACAGTTTTCATTCTCTTTGTATCAAGCTCCCATTCTAAAAACACCTCCCCGTGCCCCTTTGCCCCTGCCAGCCACTGCCCCTTGCCTTCAAAGCCAAATGCCCAATTCACTTTCTCCACAGCCACCTCTCCTGTCTTGCTCCTACCCTCACCAATACTGCTCTTGTCAAGGTCAAGATCTTGTTAAGGTCATCTGTGTTGCTGAAACCAAGAGTTGACTTTCATCCTTAATCTGAGAGACACTGCTGGTGGCATTTGAAAAAAAAAAACCACCCAGTCTTTCCTACATGCATTTTATACCTGGCTTCCAGAATCTTGTCCTCTCCTGATTTCCTCTATCTCACCGACTGTCTCTTTTGCTTATTCTTTCCCATCTCCCTGACTTCTAAGTGGTGAAGTGCCCAGGACCCATCCTTTCCTAACTGTACTTATTCCTCAGAGGTCTCAGAACCCGCAGCTCTAAATGACATCTCTGTGCTGATGGTTTTCAAACTCATGTCACCCTGCCAGATGGCTCACCTGAGTTTATTTGGACATCTGCTGCTTATTTAACATCTTCACCTGGAGCCAAAATGATCCTTTAAAATATGGTTCGTAAATTGTAGCTCCTTCACTTAAAATCCTCTAATAGCATGGAAAGGACCAAAGACAGTCTTTTTAACAAATGGCACTGGGAACAACTGGACATTTATATACAAAAAAACAAATCTAGACACAAACTTTATATGTCAAAAAAAATTTAACTCAAAATGGATCAAATGCAAAACCATAAAACTCCTGGAAGATAACAAGAGGAAGTCAAAATGCCATAGTGGTTGGCAATGGCTTTTCAGATACAGCATCAAGGGTATGATCCATGGAAAAAGGAATAAGTTGAACTTGACTAAAATTAAATTTTTTCTGTTCTGTGAAAGACACTGGCAAAAAATAAATAATAAAAACAGAGAAGCCACAGACTGGGAGACAATATTTTCAAAAGATATCTGATAAAGGACTTGTCTAAAATAATTGAAGAACCCTTAAAACTCAAAGAACAATAAGAAAACTGTCCGATTACAAGATGGGGCAAAGATCTTAATAGACACCCCACCAAAGAAGACATACAGGTGGCAAATAAACTTGTGAAAAGATGCTTCACATCCCAAGACATCAGGGAAATGCAAACTAAAACAACAGTGAGATGCCACTGCACACCTATCACAATGGCCACCAAATGCTGACCAGGATGTAGAGAAACAGGAACTCTCACTTGATGCTCTGGGGAATTCAAAATGGCACTGCCACTTTGGAAGACAGCTTGGCAATTTCTAAACATGCTCTTTTGCTCAAAACTAAACAAACTCTTATCAAACAATCCATCCATTGCTCTCCTCCATCCAGTTAGGAGCAACAGGTATTCCAGGACAGACCCCCTCTGATGGTTGGAGGCTACAGACATCACCAAAAGATTTGGAAGTGACTTAGGTACCGTTCACAGCCATTTCCTTTGAGGGTCATGTCATTTCACACTTTTCTCTTTATGTTGTCGCTTCCTTGTTCCTTTACTCTGTCAAAGCCACGTCCCCCGCTTCTTCCTTTCCTTCTCTTTCTCTGGCTGCCTCCTTCCCCCTCTGCTTTCTCCATGACTTTATCCCACCTGAGCTTCCTGGCGTCTCTCAGGAGCCTGCTGAGTTTGCTAAGTTCCTCTTCCCCGACTCCCTTCAAGTTAGACCTCCTTGCCGCTCCTCACTAAAGTCACCCACTACCATTTTGGACAGTCATACCATTTCCAAGTCTCTGTCTGGGTTACTTTTTCCCTCGGGTGCGTTGCTGTTGCAACCTCTCATCAGGGTAAGACCCACCTCATCCTCGCCCAGGTGGCGTCTTAAATCCCCACCCACTTCTCTGTTTGCCTGGTTCTGTCCCCAGGAGGAGCGGTCCCTGCTTTATTCTTTGCTGTCTCCCCAGTGACTGGAGCTGTGCGTGCAAACTAGAGATATCCCATTAACAGTGTTGAAACTGGGAGATGGACACAAAATGTGTCTGGTCCCTCCCCTTGTTTTCCTCAGAAGCACACCACTTCATTCAGAAACTCACAGATTGTGGGCGTGTGTGTGTGTGTGTGTGTGTGTGTGTGTGAGAGAGAGAGAGAGAGAGAGAGAGAGAGGAGCCAGCCAATATGGCAGACGTAATTCAGCCCTTGTCTTCCCACTAGGGTTTTCTCTTCCCATAGTTCTGTGGGGCTATAAATCATGGGTCACACCCTGTCTTCTACAGGGTGGGTACTTGACCAGAGCTGGACAGTCAGTCCTCCTCAAGAGTGTCCCACTAGAGCCAGCTCCAAAGCCGGAGTCTCCTCCATTGGAATCACCAAGCTTCTTTTTAAATGGCCCCTAGTGGTCATCCCTTTCGAAAGCAGAAGAAAATGAGGCCAGTTCTCAAGGAGGAGACAAACGAGGTAAGAGGGAGACAAAGAACCTGAGAAAGAAGACAGGAAAGCCTTCTCAGAGCCCCCGTCAGCCACAGCCAACCTTCTCTCTAGCCTTTTCAGGTGGGGAGTGGTCCAGGTATTTCTCCCAAGCTTTGGATCTACTTTCTATCATTTACAGTCCAGAGAATTCTGTCTATTCTTTCCCCGTGTCCTGCTCCCTCAGACCGGACCAAACTACATTCTCCACCAGCGTTTCATCCAATGCACCCAAAGAATACTTAGACGTGATGCTACCCTTGGGTGCGGGGTGGTGGTTGGAAGCAGTATGGAGCACAGGGGTGGGGAAGGGACGGGGAGAACACTGTCACATTATGCTTTAATTTAAAGCCTGAAATTGATGAGCAAGGATTTCTACACATGGCCCAGCCTCCTCTCAGGGTTCTGACTGGAGACCAGGTTTCAAGTTCAGCTAACAATAAAATAGTGCTTTTGTTGCTTTTGCCACTGTTCTTTGGGCATCTGCCCTACATGGGTGCATGAAGGACATGGGTGTCTATGGTCTGGGAATAAGGCTCATGTGCTCCTGGGTGCCCTGGGCAAGTTACTGCCATCTGACAGCATGAATCTCAATCGTTATTTTAAAGTGCCACGTGAGAGTTAGTTGGTTGTTATCATTTATTATTTTTATCATAATCATCCCAGCCATCAAAGTCTCATGTGTTAAATTAAGTGAACAAGACCTTACATAAAATGTTGTCCATTAATTTTTCTAACAAGTATTAAGGGAGCTTCTACCAGGTGACAGTCACTTGCTAACCACTGAGATATAGCAATAAACAAACACTCAAGTGGGAAGAGAGAAAACATAAACAAGTAAAAACAATTAGCATGTCAGATAGGGATACGTGTAGTGAGGGAAAATAGGGGTGGCTGTCTTAGAGAGTGGACAGAGCTGTCCTCCTTGTCATGGTGACATTTGAGCAGAGCCCAGAGAGAAATAAGCTGACAAGCTGTGGGGACATGGACCACTTCCATGCAAAGGCCCCAAGATGGAGACCCACGTGGTCAGAGGGCAGCAAAGGAAAGGAGTTGGTATGAGATGGCCTCAGAGGGAGCACATCAACAGGTGGCCGAGGGCCTTGGGTCACTTTAGGAATCCACAGGACAGTTTTAAGCAGAGGAGTTTCATGTTCTGTGTTATATTTACAGGGAGTAAATTCTCCTTTGCCCTATAGCCGCCTTCCACTTCCTCTCTCAATTCACATTTCTCGTTTCCTCTTTCTCTCTCTGTATTTTCTTTAGGTCTTCATAATGCTGTTTTCCCCTCTTCTCCCCTTCCCTGTACTTCTTCTCCAGGGTGGGCCACTCCATCCGGGATTCCCCTCACCCCTTTTTAATCTCAGTCTCTTTCTCTCTCTCCCAAGGGACTTTCTGCAGCTAAAAGCCCTGTAGTCCCTCTACAGGACACCACTGCCATCTCTTTGTTTCTCTATCTTCTCTGGGGTGCCCAAGGCCCTCGACCAACACTATTGCTATTCTCCACAGCCCTGCTCACCACAGAGAGGCTCCAAACCATGTCCCTCAGCTGACACAGCAGCTGAGCCTTTGAAAGCATTACTGCTGTGACCTCCTCCTCCTCCTCCTCCTCCTCCTCCTCCTCCATCATCATTATCATTTTCTTCTTCTTCTTCTTCTTCTTCTTCTTCTTCTTCTTCTTCTTCTTCTTCTTCTTCTTCTTCTCTCTCTCTCTCTCTCTCTCTCTCTCTCTCTCTCACACACACACACACACACATTTTGGGTTTAAAATATATTGACTATAAAGAGAATGCCAGACAGAAACTCTTCGTGCCAAGTGTGTTAAGTATCTCATACACTTTGCCAATTGAAGCCATGTCATTAGCATGAGCCTAGGGATCAGGGCACAGGGGGAAAGCAAGGGCCCCGCGGGAAGGATGGGGGAGGGAAGTTCTCTGACGTGATCACACTGAGCCTGTCCAGGGTTCTAACCAGGAAGAAGCTTCTTGAAGAAGTTGCTGCAGACAAAGGAAACACCAAGTGTGCAGTCTTTGAGCTCTCCAAGATGGGAAAATGGTCTGCTGAGAGCTAGAAGCAGTTTTCGGTCTCCCTGAAGGGGAAATCTGAACATCCTTGACCAGGCTGGTCCTTTGGTTTGGGGAAAACTTACCTCTGTGGTCCTTGGGGTAGGCAGATGGCCTCAGAGAGGAGCCCTGTGACCTTCTCTCTGGTACTATGCCTGCAGTGATGTCAACTTACATGGCAAAAGGGACTTTGCCGATATCAGTGAGGCTACTAATCAGCTGAACATAAAACAAATCATCCTGGATTATCCAGATGTGCCCAATATAATTGCACAAATCCTAAAAACAGAAAAGAAAGGCAGAGAGATTTTCAGTATGAGTGTTTTAACAAATTCTGATGTACAGGGTACAAGAACCAGCCATCAAAGACAGAAGGAAGGTGTCAACAGACTGAAGAAAGGCTGACAAATCTAGGATTGTACAAGGTGCCATTTGTTAGGGACTTAGAGACAGAAGCACATCTTGGGCCACAGCAAGGCAGGAAGATCCGCAACCCCAAAGCAGGAGGAAAGGGTTCACAAAGGTAGGCCTTGACCAGAATGTACCTGGGCTTTCTCTGTTTACATGTCAAAATGCAGTTAAGAAACTGTCCAACGACATGCTCTACCTTGACAGTACTTAACTTATCCTAAAGGGTCTGAAAAGCTCGATACCAAGATGACCGTAATCACATCAACCTGGATCCCTGTAGCGAGCAAAACACACCATTGTTGGCTTTGAAGATGGAGGGGCTACAAACCAAGGATCACAGACAGCTTCTGGAAGTGGAGAACACCTCCGGCTGTCAGTCAGTGAGGGAGCAGGAACCTCCATCCTACAACCACAGGGAGAACCAGAAGCAGGTTCTTCCCCGAGTCTCCCAAAAACCCAGACTGATGACATCTTCATTCTGGCCTTGTGAGACCCTAAGCAAAGGACTCAGGAGCCCAGCTGGAACTTCTGACCAACAGAATTGTGGGGTAATAAACTGTATTTTTTGAGCTGTTAAATAGTGGTTGTCTGTGATGGCAGAAATGGGAAAGAACACATCTCTCTAATTACACACTTATAAAAAGGGGCAAGTTATTAATTTTTACAACAATGCACTAAATTCTGAGATTTCTCAGAACATTTATTTATATAAAAATAAAATACCATTATTTTAAAAGGGAGGGGGATAGTTATGAAACTGTGGGGATATAGAGCTGACTATGATCATGGAAAGTGTCATTGACAGTGTGGCAAAAGCCACACCTCTGTGTGATGATGTACCTTCTAGAAGAGTCTTTCATTGCCAACTACAGATGGAGACCCTGTGCCAAAGCACCATTTGGTCAACGGAAAAGTGCTCTCTACTCCTAGGTACTCTTGGAGGCTTGACCAAGAGGCCTTTCTGCTTCCTTGGTGAAGGAGAGCCTTTCCTTAGATTTTGATCATGTGAAAGGAAATATTCTTTAAACTTTCCTCCGGCTCTTGGTATGGCAGAGGTTAGAGACCTAGTATTACTGGTTAGAACCCACAGAATGTGCATACCCAGAGACAGATTTATTTCAAGGAATTCCTCATATGATTATGGTAAGTCCCAAATCTGCAGGGTGGGTCAAGAGGCTGGGGACCCAGGGAAGAGCTGATGGTGCAGATGAAGTCCAGAGGTCCCTGCTGGCACAATTCCTTCCTGCTCGAGGAAGGTTGGGGTTTTTTGTTTTGTTTTGTTCTATTAAGGACTTAAAATGATTGGATGAGACCCACCCAAATTATGGATGGAAATCTCCTTTACTCAAAATCCACCATTTCAAATGTCAGTCTTCCAAAACCACCCCCACAGAAACATCTGGAATAATGTTAGCCTGTTATCTGGACACTGTGGCCCAGCCAACTGACACATTATAAGCCATCACACTGTGGGCAGAGAGTGGATTGGTTGGTTTGTTTAAGATATACATGTTTTCTTCAAAGAATAAAAAGCACATTTTAAAAATGCACAGTAATACTGCATAGAGTTTTAGGGTTAAATACAGATAGAAGTTAAAAGTATAAAAACATTCATGGGAATGCTAAACACTAGATTCAGAGCTACTGTTCTGATACTAAATTTACCACTGGAAGATAAGGTAGGAGGTGTGGTTTAGGGAGCATTAGTAATATTTATTTTTATTAATTGTTCATTATATTTTTCTTTATACATTTTATAGCTTGAGTTATTTGAATTAATTATTTTTAAATGAATATATAAATTATCCAAATTTTTAAAAACAAGAGTAATGGGAGATTAGACTTATTTTTATAAAACCGTGTAATAAAGCATCAGTAATTAAAAGTTTATCACTAGTGCAATTATAGACCAGACCATAAAATAGAGCATAAATTCCAGAAATAACCACCAAACATATGAAATAAAAAAATATACTGCTGGGCGCAGTGGTGCATGCTAATCCCAGCCACTCAGGAGGGTGAGGCAGGAGGATCATGAGTTCAAAGCCAACCTCAACATCTTAGCAAGGCACTAAGCAACTCAATGAGACCCTGTCTCTAAATAAAATACAAAAATGGGCTGAGGATATGGCTCAGTGGTTAAGTGCCCCTGAGTTCAATTCCCCAGTACCAAAAAAAAATGTATATATACATATATACATATATGTATATATGTAAACAACATACATACACTTAGGTTTCAATTTGGATTAGCAGAACAGTATAAATAATTTGATATATGGTCTCAGAGAGACTAGATAACTTTTGTCTTTACTCTCAAAAAAAAAAGATAGATTTTTAATGTAATGAAAACACTAAGCCGTGAAACAATAAAATGTGAATTTAGTTATGTTATTGACCTAAAGAAGGACTTGGTAGCATGATATAACACCATAAAAGAAACATTTATTTATATAAAAATAAAATACCATTATTTTAAAAGGGAGGGGGATAGTTTAATCATCTAGATAAAAACTCAAGGGAAAAAAAAACAAACCAAGAGAAAGGATTTAGAGATGTGTGGCTACTCTTCTTAAATCCAATGAAGTCATTAAGATGATCCAATAGAAAGAAAATGTGTGAAGGAAATAAACAGTTGATTTAAAAAAATAAAAATAGGGACTGGAGATATAATTCAGTTGGTAGAGTGCTTGCCTTGCATGCACAAGGCCCTGGGTTCAATCCCCAGCACCATAAAATAATAATAATAAATAGTAATAATAATAATAATTAATAAAAATAGACATTAAACATGAGAAATGTACAGCTTTACCAATAATTAAAGCAATTCAGATCAAAACAACTAGATACCATTTTTATTAAATCAGATTTGCAAAAGTTAAATATTTGATTGGTGAGGCTGTGGGGGAAAAGGCCGAGGGAAAAATAAATGAGGCAGACTCTTTAGTGAGTAATTTTGAAATAGCTACCAAAAGGCAAGTATATAGCCTTTGATTCCCCAAGGCCAATTCTTAGGGGTACACTCATACACATATGCAGAGAGGTGGTGTGGAAATGTCCACGCATCGATGACTGACAGCAAACCTATGGAAAGAGCCAATTGTGCGTCAGTAGGTGAGCAGGTATAATAGACACGACCAAAGTCTCCAAAGGTACAAGATCACACTCCTCCAACCTCAGATCTACAGTGAATATGAATTGCTTACGTAATGAAAAAGTTAAATATGTATAGATTAGACATTAACATAGATGATTAATAGGTAGAGGACTAGACAAATGATAATGGATGGATGGGTAGGTGGATAAATGGCTATAACTAATGTATAATTATGTTAATCAACTTTCCACTACTGTATCAAATACCTGAGATAATCAACTTATAAACAGAAAAGGTTTGTTTTGCTCACACTTTTGGAGTTATCAGTCTACAGCTGATTGTTCTTGATGCTTTTTTTTTGGGGGGGGGGGGGGACTGGAGACTCAACTCAGGGGCATTCGGCCAAGGAGCCACATCCCCAGCCCTATTTTGTATTTTATTTAGAGACAGGTCTCATTGAGTTGCCTAGCAAGCCTCGCCATTGCTGAGGCTGGCTTTGAACTCCCAATCCTCCTGCCTCAGCCTCCCGAGCTGCTGAGATTACAGGCATGTGCCACTACGCCTGGCTTGATGATTTACCAGCTGGTCTTGTCCCTGAGTGAGTGCCACAATGCTAGGCTTTGCCTGTAGTCAGTCATGCTGTCAAGATTCAAATATTCTCTGGAATTTTTCTTTAGGATCAATTACATACCTTTAAATAACTTCAGAGGGGGTTCCTATTCCTTTTATTTTTCTTTTGAGGGAAACTGCTTGTAAGAAATAAGACAATTTAATTCTGATTCAAGTGTGACATGTAGGTTTCATGATCAAATTAAACAATTTTCTGCAAAGTAAGCCGTGAGAATAGTTTTAAGGATGTTTGTTGCTGCTGTGGGTTGAACTGTGTTCCCCAAAAAGATGGGGAATCCCTAGCCCCCAGGACCTCAGAACACAAACCTCATTTGGACATAGGATCATTGCAGATGACTGAAGAGCAGGTCATACTCGAGCCAGGTGGGCTGCTAACCCAATGTGACTTGTGTCCTAATAATAGAAGACAAGAGCTGTGAACCCAGAGGTAGACAGAGAGAAAGCAGCATGACACTGGGACTGTAGTGACACAGCTGCAAGCCGAGGATCCCCAGCAGACAAGACAAGAAAGGATCCTGAGAGCACAGCCCTGCTGACATGGTAGTTTCAGGCTCCAGCTTCGGGAACTGTGGTACAACGCATATCTGCAGCTTCACCAGTTGTTGGTGCTGTTACAGGAGCCCGGGGAAGCTAATATAGTTTCCTACACATGACCCATTTCTGTCACCCAGTACTCAGATTCCCGTGTGTGTTTCTCCCTCCTGCACACTCTCCAGGTACTGCACAGAAAGTGCCTTCCCCCGTGGCCAGGTTGGACTCTGACTGCCTTAGCCAATCAGCATCATTGTCATTGGCTCAGGGATGGATTGTACCTTAAACTGGGCCATTCAGAGTGACTCTTAGGACTCTCACTTAGAATGGCAAACAGAGAGACCAACAGAGAAGAACATGATCCTCTAGACGTGAAGTAGAAAGCAGAAAGCCTGGGTTGCATCTGGCGACGGTCATTTTCAGACGCAGCCAACAGGGCAGGCAACACAGCAGAGACACACAGAGGCCCGGGGCCTTGGAACATCCTTAAACCACTAGGTCCATCCGCCCTGAGAGATCAACCTTGCAGTTAAAGCCTTCAGGGTTTAAGACCACTTGACTTGGATTTTGCGTTCCTTGTCACCCAAAGCTTCCTGGATAACAGAGTGGCCTCATAGGACACCAAATGCCAGCCAAGGGAGAGTGGGATATTTAAGAGACCCCCTGGAGACCTAGACATGGAGGATACAGGGCTGGAACCACACCCAGAGTCCTAGGCCTGGAAGCTGTGGCCAGATCTCCCCCTGCCTGGTAGCCACATGAAAAGTCATGACCCTGTTGGGAATGGCTTGCACTTCCAGAGCCTGGTGGGACTAGGAAGGGTGTGCATCTCCCAGAGGCCAGAGGCGGGCTGGCCCAAGGGGCAGGAACAGCTCTACTTGAGGGAGACTCTGTCCTGAAGAAGGGCCTGGAAGCACAGAAGGAGAATGAATCCAAACACAGGAGAAGCCTTGCTTGGAAGTCGGCTGGCCAGCAGAAGGAGTCATCCACCACCTCAAGGGAATGGTTTGATTGCAGGACACCCAGCAGGGGTGGAATTCCCAAAGAGCCCCCAAAAATGTTCCCCCAGAAAATGATTCCACAGCTGGCATCTGCCCCATCCAGAGGGCCAGACTACAATGGCACAGGTCAAGAGCAGTGTTTCCTGCCCTCACCTCTTCTCCTGTTTCCACTCCAGTCCTGCAGAGACCAAAAGAGCCAGCAGCCAAAGAGGGAAGAGGTTGAGTGTGAAGGGAAAGCTGTCAGACTCCTTCCCCGCTGGCCCCAGACCAAGGCAGGCCCAACTACAGTAGGTGGGGGGTGTTAGTAGGATGAAACGTTGAAGGTGACAGCAGATGGGACTGTTTGATTATTAAAAGGAGTTATTTTCTTACCTCTCAAAGGGCCTGGGAAAACTCTGGCCCTGCCCTAGACTTTAACCCAGTCTAGCAGGCGCGGCAGTGCCCCTGTCCCTAGGCTGGCCCCTGTGCAGGAAGGCTGTGCCTGGCCAATACCTACTATCCTGCCTGCAGGGGTTCATCTGGCTGGACAGGGTGATCGAGTCTGAAGCAAGGCAGCATGCTGGAGCTTTCAAGTACCCAGAACTTCTCTTCACCCAAGGAGAGGCAGGAGGCTGTAGGGTACCTGCGGGGTGCCTCCTGTAAGTACCACAGCTCCTTGGCCCCTCAGTGGGGAGAAGGCTGTGACCTTGGGTCTGAAACTGTCCCTTTCCTATCTCACTTCCTCACTACTTGCATTCAAAATCATGTCTCAGGCTCTGACTCTGAGAAGACCAAAAGCAAGACATCGCCTGGAAGAGAGAAGATGATTTCAAAGTGCAGGTTTGAGTGGGCATTGGAGAGGGACCGAGGGCGTCGGGATGTTTCTTGCAGCTGGTCCAGTGAATAAGTCAATCACACCGGAGTTCTGGTCGTACTCATAATTGAGTTTCCTGCCTAAAACTTGGGAACAGGAGGTGGCAGGGGCAGGAGGTGCCTATTTCCTTCCGCATGTTCACCGCATTTTGAAGCTGAAGCTAAATAGAATCAGATATTCATCACACACCTCTGACTTCTTCCTGCCTCTTGAACTTTCCTCTTCCTCCCATGATACCAGGAAGGGGACGAACTGCACACAGGGGCCAGTGCTCACACGATGCCCAGTTCACCAGGTCGGAGGTGTGTCTGATCTACACCAGGTACCTAGCTTTCAGCAGTGCTGAAGCCTTGATTACTCACTTTCCATTTTTTATTAAAGTGTAGTTTAGGTACAGTTAAAATTCAGTCATATGCTTAGCTCTCACACTTTAGGGGGTTTTATTTATCTGTTTTCTGTCCTGAGGATTAACCCAGGGCCTCACGCATGCCAGGCAAGCACTCTACCGTTGAGCTATACCCCCAACCCTTTTTCTTTTGTTTTGAGACATGGTCCCACTAAGTTGCCCAGGCTGACCTCCAACTTGTGATCCTCCTGCCTCCCTAGTAGCTGGGATTATAGGCGTGCACTTCCACACCAGGCATTTTTTTGTGAAGTATAATTTGTGGAGTAAAAGAGCATAAGCAACTCAGTGAGACCCTGTCTCTAAATAAAATAGGGCTGGGGATGTGGCTCAGAGGTTGAGTGCCCCTGAGTTCAATCCCCCAATGACCCTCCCTGCCAAAAAAGATCCTAAAGCATAAATATATACCTGGATGAATGGTCACCAAGTAGATAAGCTTTTAACAAGTTAATGCAGCCATATTACCTCCAAAATTATAATCAAGATATAATTCTGATGGGGTGCTGGAAAGGCTATCCAAAACGCGGTGCCTTGGTGTACTGAGTATTTTAAACTAAAGGAAATTGAGGAAAACCCAGAAGCAAGAAGACCACTATCTGATCTCCTGTAGCCTTCCTTCTCTGAAACATGGCCATAAGGAAATTCTCTGACCTACCTCTCCTGAAAGTAGGTCATAAAACCTTTATGTGACAGGTGTCCTGCCCTATACCTGGAAGCCAAGAGTGAACAAACTAGCCTGGCTAAATTCCCCCCAGTTTATTACCATTAGGTCATCCTCCCTTTCTGTCTGAGCACACTTCTGCACAACTGCCCATGCATTCTGTGAGGTAGAGATCAAGGTTAATTTTCCCCCCATGGATGTTCAGTTGATCCAGCATTGATTAATGGCGGGGAGGGGTACCCTTTCCTCACTGACTTGCCATGAAGTCCTTGCCAACAGTTCAGGTGACCACAAATGTGAAAACAGTTTTTTATCTTTCTTTCCTATTCCATCAGTTATCTGTCTCTTCTTGCACCACCCCAGACTGTCTTAATTACAGCTTTATTACAAGTCAGCCATATAGGTTCTCTGACTTTGTCTTTATTAGGATTTCCTTGGCCTATTCTAAATCATTTGAATTTCCATATACATTTCAGAATCATCTTCTCAATTTATTTATTTTATTTTTTTAATAAGATTTTTATTAATGAAACAAATAGTTTATCTATTTTTTTTAAAGAGAGAGGGAGAGAGGGAGAGAGAGAGAATTTTTTTAATATTTATTTTTCAGTTTTCGGCAGACACAACATCTTTGTTTGTATGTGGTGCTGAGGATTGAACCCAGGCCGCACACATGCCAGGCGAGCGCACTACCGCTTGAGCCACATCCCCAGCCCCATCTTCTCAATTTATTACAAAGCAACCAGCTAAGACTGAACCTATAGGTAAATTTAGGAAGAATCGATATCTTAACAATACATAGTCTTCCACTCCATATCAAAGTATAGGCAGGGTCCCTGTGGTCTCCTTTAAATTCTCTCAGTAATGTTTAATGTTTACACTAGAGAAATCTTGATCACCTTGCACTCTATTTATTCTGAACTATTGGGCATTTTCTGATGATGTCTCAAGGCCAGGCCTAGGGTGAAGCAAGGAGGAGGAGGAGGGTGAATGCCTCTCTCACCTGCTGCTAGTCCCAGCCCTGGCTGTTCTGCAGGATGCATCCTTTAAAAGTTTATTTCTACTAGTTTGTTTCTAGTATATAAGGATTCGATTGGTTCCTGTCCACACACTCCGTATGCAGCACTCTCCTCCCAGAGCAGAGAGTAAGACATCTATAGCTGGACTCGAGCCTAGGGCTCAAGAGGCAGAAGCTGGCACTTGAGAAAGAAAGGGGTTTCTGTGTTTGGGGTGATCTGTGGGTTTCTACTGTATTTTTCCACTCATGGGCAACTGATTTTCAAAAAATTCTAGGGAAGGTTTCGAATTAGCCAGAGATCATGCATACTGATGCCGACTAGTGTGGAAAACAGTAGGAAAAGCAGCTCCCACTAGACCCCTGTGGATGGAGTCAGCAGGGAAGAGGTTTCCCCAAAGAGGTCTCTCTGTTTTATACGAATGGGTGCTAAACAGACCGCCTCAGAATCCACACCATTTGGGCCCCAGCTACCCTGGAATTCATTCAGCTGATACCTTCTGTCCTTCCAAGACCAACAGTCTGTGCCTTTGTCCTGTCCCAGGTTGGTCCTCGCGTGTAGTCTCGCAGGTAGCTGCGGAGACACTCACAGGCATGCCCAAAACAAACCATCACCATTTCTTCTCGTTGCTGGTACCGGCCCCTCCCCTCGGTGCCCAGAGAGGCATTTTCAACCACAAATCCACAAACTGAAACAAAACTATGTTTGTGGATTTGGCGATGCCCAGTAAATTTTAAATATGGATACCTTTGACCCAGCATTTCTGCCTCGAGAAATGCATCCTCTACTCTCAGGAAACATGCTTTCAAAGATACAAATGTATGTCTGAGGATACCCACTGCAGTTATGTCAGTAATGAAGTAATAAAGGAAAAACTGGGGAGAGATGGGATTCCCAATGCTTATCACTAAAAAGCTCATTAAACTAATGATTATTCAGAAATGCAATGGAATATTTTATAACTATCTGAAGTATAGGGTCCTAATATTGAATGACGTACAAGAATTGTCAAAAAGGGAGTTGCCAGACAACGTCACTGGTAATGTGAGAATAAAGATAATGATGATGATAATATCTACATTAGTAGGTGCAGAGAGCAAAAAATCTGAGCCATACACATGAAACTATGAACAATATTTAGGTACTTGGTGGTGGGGCGTAAAGCGATTTATGAGGAACTTCCATCTTCTAAGTATGTGTTACTGCAATATTTACATTTTTAAAAGAAAATATATTTCTTTAAGATCTAAAACATAAAATAATGATCTGTTTTTTAAGTAAGAGTCTCAAAAGTTGGGAACAGTGCAACAGATGTGGCTCGATTGCCTCGCAGACAGATGTCTCGCGATCACAAGGTTGTTTAAGAATTCAGACTTGTCTCCTTGCTCACTGACCCATAACACAACAGACTAAATGTTTGACATGGGAAAATTCTCAGGGACAAAAGAGTTTATTCAAGCAGACCTGACAGCCATGAGCTATCTCATAATCAGCAGAGAGACAGACGTCCTGCCTGTGCTGGGGGTGGGGAGGGCTGGGGAGAGCCGGCAAAGGGCCAGGAAAGGGACGGTCCTTCTCCCCCTCCGTGATGGCAGCCTTGGCTTTGCTGGTCAAGGAAGCGTTGGCCTGAGTGGAGGAGAGCCAGGAAGACATTGCCAAGTGCAAGCCTGGGTGCTTCAGGGGGCTCCAAAGCTGGGACAGACACAGTTAACAGAGAATGCAGAACATGAGGTGCATCTTGGAGGAGATCAGCATGGAACCTGCGTTCTGAGTTTTCCTTTCTTTAAAAAATATATACTTTTGATTGTGGTAAAATACACATGATAAAAGTTACCACCTTAATCATTGTTGAGTAAACAGTTTAGTGGTATTAAAATCCATTCATATTGTTGGGAAACCATCACCACCATCCGACTCCAGGAAGCTTTTCATCTTGTGGAACAGAAACTGTACCCCATTAAACTACGGCTCCCCAGCCCCTGTGACCACATTCTGCTCTCTCCATTCTACTTTCTCTATGATTTTGACTATTGATGAGACCTCCCGTCAATGGAAATGACAGCAGTTTTTATAGTGTTTGTCTTTTCGCGACTGGCTTACTTCACTTAGCAAGATGTTCTTAAGGTTCACCTATGTCATGGCATACCCCGTGAGGCTCGGGAAAACAGATACCCCCAATTCCTTTACCTATCTGAGGTCTAACTCCCTTCCCCAGATAACTCATTGACTGGAGGAGACTGACTCATAAAAGGGACAAAAGGTCAAGGTCTCACCAGAGAGACTTTTTCACAGCCTGTCACCTCTTCTTCTGAGGCTGCTACCTGAGATCTTATCTGCACTACAAGACAATTTCTGTTCGCAGGCTTCCTCCTCCAATAACCAGTCATCACATCTCCAAGCCCATATTTCTGTTTTTCTTTTCTTCTCTCTTTTTCAATGCTGGGGGTGGAACCCAGGGCTTCACACATGCTAGGCAAGTATTCTCTTTTTTAAAAATTTTTGAGTCTTGCTCGGTTGCCCAGACTGGCCTCGAACTTGCAATCCTTCCACCTCAGCCTCCCAAGTAGCTGGAATTATATGTGTGTGCCAGCACCCATGGCTCCAGCCTCCTATTTCAGTTTAGAGCCCAAAATACTACATATTTAGTTGAAGTTTTTCAATTTTCTGACCCTCCTTTGAGTCTCATATTTTGTAAGACTCCTGTGCATATTTACAAAATTCATATATTTCTCTCTTATTCATCTGTCTACTGTCAGTTTATGCCAGAGACTCAAATTTTCAAATCTTCAGTGAAAGAGGGAAACTCCCCTAGACATATCAGAATTCCCTTCATTTTATGGCTGAATAATATTCCAAAGTATAGATATGCCACCTTTTGCTCATCCCTCCACCAAGGGCACCTGGGTTGCTTCAACATTTTAGCTACTGCAAGTAATGCTGCTACAAACACAAGGACACAAGAATCTTGCAGCTTGGGGACACAAACCCAGAAGTCCCCTTGACTCTGGCATGGGGCAGATCATCTCTGAATCAAATGAAGACAACAGTAATCTCCAACTTGCAAAGCTGCCCTCTGGTTTCCCATGTGGGTTCCTCCCTGTCTAATCCTTACCTCATTTAATTTTCACAGCCTGCAGGGAGGCCAGGCAACTCTCACCTGTAAAACAGAAAGACCAAGAGTCATGCTCATGGTGTCCAGCTCTCCACCCCTCAAGATGTGGTGTTTCCCCCAGAACCCCCCCAAGCAGAGAGGTCACCACACGTCCCTTCCTGTGTGAGTCTCAACTTAATCTCTTGCACCTATTATATACCAACTATTATACTGCTGCTTCAGGCACATGGCCGTGTTACAGCCTCATGTGGAAGGTGACAAAGAGCTATTCCTGTGTCTGCACACACACAGGCACATCCCACCAACCCTCCTTCAAGACAGCTGGGTGGGTCAGGCACTGGTTTCCAAGAATAAGCCTCAATACCATTGAAGTTTATCAGAAAATTGCTAATGTTGAAGCCCCCACTCCCAAAGAAGAGCTGGTCACTTACATCACACAGGAAAAATTTTGTCCCAGACCAGTTTGGGGACAATTTTTCTTTTACGGGTGGTTGACATACATCAAAATCACCTGTGTCAAGAGGAGGGTGGGGGAGGTGCCTCCTCCATTCCCCAGCTTTAGAGAACCCCACTGATGGTTTTGCTGCTGGACACCCCAGGACCAAAGTCTCCTGGGAAAGTAACGCTGCACTCCCCAGGGCCTCCCCAAGGGCAAGGGGATGGAAGGGAGCTCAGATCTGGGTGAACGAGCACTCCGACTCCGGTGTGTATTTCAAACAGCTACAGAGAGATTTGAATGGTCTCAACACAAAAAAACGAGAAATGTTTGAAGTAGCAGATGTGCTAATTGTCCTGATCTGAGCATCGCACATTGTAGACACGTGCTGAAATACCACACTACTCACCACAAATATGTAAAATTACTGTTATGTGTCCATTAATAATTATTCATAATTATTAGATAAACGGGGCCCACCCCACTACAAGGCAAAATAGACATGGCTGTTCTTACTAAGTCCCTTGTCCATTCTGCCAGCACCCCACAGGCCTTGGCTGGTGCCTGCACCCCCCAACCCCAACTCCAGAAACAGGCCTCCCATGGCATTCTGCAGAGGGGCCCCTAACTTTGAATATGCAAAAGGCCAGGGACCAGGGAGGCAGGGTGAGCAAAAGGTCCCCGCATATTCAAAGACTTATGGAGGTTATCTCCCAGCTCCTCCGGCTCCTCCCGTCAGGGGGAAGAAAATGGGAGGTGGATGCCACTGCCTGTCCAGCACCTCCTTCTCTAGGGTTCTGCTTCTTGAAGTAGAATCTGGAGGCTTGGGATTTGGGAGGAAAAGGCTCTTTATGTGAATGAAGTCATCAGCCCCAGTGGTGTCCCCTTCCATCTTTTGGGACAAAAATGCATCTCAGCAAAGGCTCAGGGACAGATGCCAACTGCAGACAAAGAACAGAGCGGATGACAGATGACAGCAAGGCATAAGAACCCCACCCCCAACCCCTCACCCCGCGCAAGGACCCAAGACCTCCCGCCAGTGGCTGCACACCTCAGAGGCACCCCAGCGTGGGTTCTGCTGCAAACCTGAAGAGTAGGAAAAAGGAATAAATCAAGTATGATGGGCTGAAGGGATCGGCTGACGTACGAGGCCATGAGGCAGAAAGGGCCCCAGAGAGACTGAGCTGTGGAATAATTAAGCTCTTTTGGTATTTGAACACTTGAATCCATAGCTGTGAAACAGAATTTCCTGCTATCTGTATATTAAGCACTTCACATAATTCAGGAACTATTCTGGGTACTGAGGACAAAATGTTGAAGAACCCACCACCCAGGAGAGCAGGGTCCCCTGTGGAAGATGTCCTGGAACATGTTTCCATGTCCCCCCCCAGAGGGGGCCTGTCAAGGAGGCACCCAGAGGCGAGGACCCCTGACCTGAGGAATCATGAGTGACCCTGTAAGAAAGCAAATACAACAGATGCTTTTATTCAAAATGTAAAAGTCTAGAAATGAGAGAGTGGTGTAAGCATTGAAAACAAAACTCAAGAGGAGCAGGAGTCAAGGAAAGGAACAGGGTTTGGGGGAAGGTACTCCCGGCAGAAGGAGCAGGTGCCGAGGTGGAGGGCTTCAGGCAGACTTTGATGGGCCTGTCCCCCAGGTCTGAGAGGTGGACTTCTGGGAAGGGCTCCCAGGGAGGAAGAGGGCCGGTTGGCTCCACTGAGGAATTTGAGTTGTACCCAGAAGGTAACTGAAAGCCATTAAAAGGGTGGGGGATCAGCCTTTCCACAACTTCTCTAGCAGAAGCTCTGCAAGAATGGCCTGGGAGGGGGCTGCCCTGGAGAGGCTAAGGCAGGAGCAGGTGGGAGAAGATGAGAGCCAGCGAGCGAAGGGAAGGGAGGGAAGATTTGGGGGAGTCTGAACCACGGTCAGGTGGATACCTTGGGGTGAGGAGTGACAAAGGGGGTGAGATTGATAACTGGGCAGGTGACAAGCATGTCTCTGGATATGGAGCAGGTTTTGAGGCACAAGAGGTCATTTGAACCCTGCCCTTGCCTTCTTGCCTTCCCAGGGTTGTGGCTGGGTGGAGTTTACTCCTCTGTGTTCTGGAACATTCTCCAAAGAATCTCTGGGTTGTCCAAAAGCAGCGGAAAGAACACCCGGGAACCCCTTTTGGAACTCTCCAGAGATTCTGCGGACCCCCTGCTTCCCGGGGAGCCTGTCATCTCTGACCTTCTGCTGGTATCACGGGACGGTACAGAAGTCAGTAGTTGTCCCCTGTAGAAATGGCCAGGCAGATGTGAAAGGACAGGGCATCTCTGTCCACTCTGGGGTGGGTGTAGGGGAATCAAAGACAGACTGCACAAGGAGTACAGCAGCCACACGGTCACAGGGTCCCATCACTGGGGGACAGGCGAGGAAGATGGTCCACCCAGGTCCTGCCCCGACAAGACACAGGGAAGGGCAAAAGGAGCGCCAACGGGCACTGGGCTCGGCCCCAAAAGAGGCTGGCAGTCCAAACTCCCAGTGTGCTGGATCCTCTCTCCGAGCGATAACAGCAGCTGCCGTTTGGGGAGGTCGCTGGGGCTGGGCCTCATGCCAGCATTTCTGAGCATCTCATGTTATGCTCACAGGGAAGAAGGCACAATCCAACCTCGGATTACTATTAGCTGTTGTCATCTGTACTGTGACTCTGCCCAGGTTGTCCCTTACCCTCCCATAACCTCCCCTGCCCAGGGGGCCTCAAGGCTCAGGTCAGGGCCTGGCTCCACACCCCCAGACCCCTGTGACAATTCCTCGCCTGGACCCTCCATTCTGGGGTGTGTAGGCCTTCCTGCATTGTGCTGGTTGGCCCTGGCCCTGCCTTTCTTTCCGAGGTCTCCCTGCACACGTCACAGTCCTCTTGGGCAGCTGAGAGGAACTGCTTCACGGAGAGTAGACACCAGGCCTGCAGCAGTGTGGAGCTCTCCTTGGAGGACCCCTCATCTCTGGAGGAACGGCAGCCTCTGCTCCCTAAACTGGGCAGCTGACCCCCAGTAGCCATTGAGTTTCTGCAAGTCCCCAGCACAGCCCTGAGTTGTCCAGATGGTTGGATAATCCAAAAAAGACCCTTTCCTGGACATGCTCCCTCCTCCAGCCAGCGGCCCCTCCAGGGTCATGCCCCTTCGCAGCCTCGAGTCCCTGTGTCAGCAATGACCTCTTCAGCCTCTTTCTAAAAAAAAAAAAAAGTGTCCTACTCTCTTGTCCCTGGCCCCACCTGACCGGCACACAGGCCACCTGTTTCCTTCCAGGCCTTGGGGGACCCCTGGAACTGTTTTGAAGAAGGAAAAGCAATGCCTGCCTTTCCTTCTGCATGAGCCAGACCCTCTCAGCCATGGCCAGGACCCTCGGCCACAGGCCCAGTGACCACATCCCCTGGGACAGGGCTGGGGCTTCCGTTCCTGTGGAGCACTCCTCTGCCTGCCTTGACTTGTCCCTGGCAGCCTTGGTCTCTGCTGCCATCACTGGACTCCTGGCCCACCTGCTCCTTGGTTCCCCAGGTCTCTGCCAGGACGACACATGACATGCCAGTGCTCCCACCTGGACCCCACCCTGCCCCACGTCGCCCTCTGCCCGGCTCCTCAGCGGCACCTGAGCAGCAGCTCGGTCCTAGTGAGTCCATTCGGGGCCCGACTCCTCTCATTCTGCCAGCTGTGAGCAGCCAGAGGCCCCAGGCTGCGGCTCAGAGCACGCAGGTCTGCCTGGTGGACACAGAGATCAGCTTTCCAGAACATAGCTGGTTCTAACTTCTAGAACTATGGAGCCATCCAGAAAATGAGAAGAGGACCCTGGCCTCTGATAAGTGAGGGCAGCACTTGGGCAGGGTGCAGATCATGGGGAACTGGAACGGAAGTCAGTTTGCTAGGGTTTCTAAAGAAGAGCCTAGAAACAACCCCAACAGAAGGAAAGGGTGTGGTTGGGGCATCAAAGCCCCGCTGGGCTGCACAAGAACGTCCCCTGTGTGGTGCCCGGCTTCCGTCAGCCCGTGCCAAGCCCAGCCCCCAGGGCCTCAGCGTCCCAGAGGTGCAGTCAGCAGCCTTTGCAGGGCTGTGTGGGTTGGAGGCACCTCAGTGCTGGGGAATCAGGCATGGCCTTAAGTGGCTTCATCATGCCCTGGGGACTCCTGTCAAGGAGGAGACTTTGGGTTCCAGCCATTGACACACCATTGCCCTCATGCTGTCAGACAGTTCCAGTGTGCTGCCCAGGGACAGAGGTGGGGAGCAGGCCCCTGCCAGACCTGGGCCATGCAACTGGGCACCTGTACTCCATCCCCTGCCCCCAACATAGAGGGCACATCAAACACGGAGGGCGACACCACCCCCCCCCCCCCCCCCCCCCCCCCCCCCCCAACGAAGCGGGCACACCCAGCCCGGGGGCCCCCCCCCCCCCCCCCCCGCCCCAGCACACTTGGCTGCAGACTCAGCGGCCCACTGGCCTGAGGAGGGCCATGGAGAAGGGCCAGATTCAGGTTCGGAGCACAGAGCTCCCTGGTGTGTGAAGCCAGCAGAGGAGGAAGAAGCCCAGGCAGGCTCCAGAAGCAGAGTTTGCCTTTCCCAGAGCAAAAAGGCCACAGCCCTGCACAGTCACCCACAGTTTGGGCTGGGACCCTGCCCTCTGTCTGCAGGGAGACGATTCCCAGCAGGCGGCTCCCAGGCCTGTGTGCACAGAGCCCGCAGCAGGTTCATCTCTAGGCTGTTCCTCTAGGAAGGGCTTGGCAATCCCAGCCCCAGGGAAAGTCCTTTTCCCTCCTCTGCAGTGATGACAGGGCTGGTGACGCAGGGCACCTCCCCATGCATGTGCCCTTGTGAAACTAGCTAAAATAAATCTCTGACCTCCAAGGAGGCACTGTCAGCTCCAGGCAGAGGCCGCCGGTGGGGGGGGAGTGCAGGCAGGAGAGATCACAGACCACGGTGCAGGGGTGCAGATCTTTGTCACGTTGGTTGGCAGTTTCCGTCCTCTTACCCCCAAACTTCCTTCCTGATTCTCTGCCCAGCACAAGGGGTTTGGGGGCTGTGCCAGCCAGTCACAGCCTAAGGCAGCTCAGAGAAGCGTGTCCAGCCAACGTCTGTTCCTGGTTGAGTGGGCCAGCCCTGGAGCGATACGCAGCCCTGGCCCCACACTTGCGCGCACAGAGGCTCAGTTTCCTCATTTGTTAAATAGTGATGATACCCGTGACCACCTTGCAGGGCTGCTAAGAGGATTATCAAATGAGGAACTGTGGAGGACTCTTAGGACAAGGCCTGGCAACCGTAGAGCCTCAATAAAGATAGCTGAGAGCACAGCCTTGCCTAGGAACAGCAGCTGGAGAACCAACAGGCTCCTCCCATCTTAGAGAATCTGCCTCTCCAGCAGGCTGGCAAGTTGGTGCATGAGGCCTAAATGCTTTGAGGGACAATAAGGCTGCCCAGGGCCATCGTACGCCCTTTTCTCATCCCCATTGGTCTCGTCTGAAATTAGAGATTAGTTCTTTGGACTCTGCATAGAGATGCAGGTACAGTGGGCTGTCCCTGGATGCAGAGGGTCCAGACTAGGCCTAATTAGGGGTGAAATGGGAGAAAGATGAAGGACAGGCCTGCTTGTCCACAGGCTCCAGATAAAGAAGGGGCCTGACAGGTCAGGCAGCCCCAGCAGCCCTCCTCTGCCGCATGAGAACTTGTACTCCAAGATCTGGCTCCCCCAGTTCCCCACATCATCACTTCCTGGATCTGTTTCTGCATGCAAGACATGAGTGCCTGTGTCTTTGAGTCACAGTTAGGGACAAAGGAGACAGCCTACGCAAACCGTCTGAGCAGAGCCTGACAAAGTGGGTGCATCCGTCTGCTAGAGCTGCCATGACCAAGTACCACGAGCCCAAACAACAAACATCTGTTTTCTTGTGATTCTGGAGGCTGGAGGTCTGAGATCAAGATGTCAACAGGGTTGTTTCCTTGGGCTCGCAGGTGGCCATCGTCACCTGTGCCTCTCACAGTCAGATTTGGCACAGGGCAGATTTGGCACAGGACTGGTTGTGTAGTAGGACTGTCAGCTGCCAAATAACTAAAAACTTCTAGTTTTCTTCTAGTTAGAAGAGCAGGGGTTCAAACAAAAAGGAATTTTTGTCTCATGTAGAAAACAAAATTCAGAGCTGTCAGTCAAGGACTGGGGTTGCCACTGAGGGGTGTCAGCAGGATCTGGACTCCCCTCTTCCTCCTCCACCACACCTAGCCCCTGGCTTTTATCCTCATGGTTGAAGATGGCTGCTGCACCTCCAGCAGACATCCAAACTATCTTCCAGGAAATAGCAGGAGGTAAGAGAAAGCCAATGACGATCAAAGATAAAGGATCTGCCAGTGAAGTAAGCGTGTTTTTAAATATCTACCACTGACTTCCCCTCTTACCCCACAGGCGGAGCTGGGTCAGCATGGCCAGTGCTAGCTACAAAGGATCCCAGGAAGTGTTTTAACTGAGCACATTGTGACCCCACTTAAGCCACAGTCCCATGGGTGAGGAAGAAGGGAAGCTAGACGTTGGGCAGATGCCCAGCACACTGGTCTCCACAGAGCTCAAGGGCAGGAGGGTAGATGGTACCTCAGAGCCCTGGCCAGGTGGGCCCAGGATGCCCCACCAGCAGCGAGGGCCAGGGCTGGCAGGCGAGTCCAGAGCCCTGTCAGTCAGCTCTCCTGCACTGGATAACAGACCTGAGGAAAACCATCTTAAAAGGAGGCCATTTTTATTTGGCACACAGTTTCAGAAGCTTCGGTCCCTGGTCGGTCAGCCAGGCTGCTTTGGGCTGTGAAGGGACAGGAGAGGAGAGAGGAGGAGGGGCTGGGGTCCTAACGTGGCCTTCTGAGGCTGACCCCGCAGGCCCAGCCCCAGAGGCCGGTGACCAAGCCCTCAACACGTGACCTTTGGTGACCTTTAGGATCCAAACCATAAAAGAGCTGAGAGGGCAGCACCTGGGGCTGTGGGGCAGAGCCTGCAGGGAGGGGCAGGCGGTGGCCGAGAACTTTCCCCTCTGCTCACTCACACCCTCTGCTCAGGGCTCAGGTGAGGCCCTGCCTCACCTCCTGGGGGCCCACGTCAGGCAGGGTGTGGAGGGGTCAGGCAGGGTGTGGAGGGACAGGGGATGGGAGACAGCCCCACCACTGCTCCTGGAGGGTGCCCCTCACTCTTCCAAAGGAGGACATGCAGCTGGGGGGCCGGGCTGTGTGCCCAGGAGGACCCCTTCCAGCTCCCACTGCCCCTCTCCACCTGGGGTCCGCAGGGCAGGGCCATGGTGGGCACCTGGGTCCAGAGCCTGTGGGCCAAAGCCAGAAGCCCGCCCTCCCCTGTCACCACGGTGAGGAGGAGCCCAAGGGCGGGCCTGGCAGCGGGCACGGTGTACCCTGCTCCCCTGGAATCTTCCACTGGGTGTCTAACAGGCCTCTTGAATTTAACACATCCAAACCTAAACTCTTGAATCCCCAAATGGGAACCTTGTCCTCTCAGCCAGCAGGAGCTTCCTCCTGCCCCATGCTCAGGCCAAAACCCTAAGAGTCCCCCTCTTCCCAGCCAGCCCATCATCTTCCTCAGACAAACCTTCAGAGTCTGACTCCTCGTCCTGCTTCCGCAATGGCCACCCTGGTCCAGGTGTTTCGCCTGGACATTGGAAGAGCGACCTAGCTGGTCTCCCTCCTTGTGTGCTCAGCCTCAACACAGCAGCCCGAAGAGGCCAGCTCCTTCCTGGCTGAAGGAGTGTCTCCCAATTTTTGTGATGGCTCACAGGACCCCATGTGACTCCTGTCCAACTCAGAACCCTTCTAGCCACCGGCGAAGGGAACTCCTGCCTCAGGACACGGGGCCAACTCCTCACCCTGCAGACCTTGGCTGGCATCTATCCGAGGCTTTCTCTTACCTCCCTGTGTCCATAGCAGTGGCTCTCCTCCCAGTCACACCCCAACACTGCTGGCTTTCCATTCCCCACAGTACGAGTCATCACCAAACCCAAGGGTTCTGAGCTCCTGGGGGAAGGACAGGTCCACTTTGTTCCCCGTTAGACCCTCAGGACCTAGAACTCTGCCTCAAGGACCCACCCACATGTACCGAATAAATGACTGAATGAATGAACAAATGAAGCATGAGAAGGTCTCTTGACCCCGAGGAGCCCACCGGACGGGGCAGAGGAACCTCGGTCTTACTAATCCTTAGCACACAATGACATGCCACATGCCCTCTTAGAACACCCTGGGAGGCCCAGAGACACCCAGAGTGGAACCTTCCAACGGATGCACTGCCTGAGAAGGGCCCCCAGGGGGTCTCCAGCTGAGCCCTGGGGCTGCGCTGGGGAGGGGTTGGCCTTGCTGAAACAGGCTGCTCCTGGAGCCCCAGGCCACGGGAGAGTCGCTCAGACTTCTCCTGGGAGCCTGGCAGCCCTGTGCCTCGTCTCAGCTGGGTAATGGGGTAAATAACACTTTGATCATCGCCGTGAACCCTGAACTCAGACTGGCCTAACGTCCACTCCTTTCCACCTTGCTGGGGCCCCTCTTCCTCCACCAGAACCATGGGGGCTTACAGGCCCTCAGCACCTGGAAGGGCCCCAAGCTCTTGTACATCAAGGTCCACCTAGTTCCTTTGCTGTCCAGGCTCACTGGGGGTGGTTCCTCAGTGTCCCTGGTAACTTCGGGGGTCTCTGACAGTCCAGGTGCCCTGCCTTGTACCTCCTCTGGGGTCTCTGCTCACCTCCAGGGTGCTGAGGGGCACTGGAGTCCTTGGAGCTCAGGGTCAAGGCACTGTCTCCCTGGGGTGGGGTCCATGTTTTCCAGACCCATCTCCACGCCTCTCCCAGGACTGCGGGAGTGTGGTTATCAACACCTGGCTCAAAGGAACTGAGGGCAGGTGAGAATGCAAATACTCCAGGCCAAGCCAGGGCGTGGGAGGGGCCCTGTTCTAGTTTCCTGAGGTGCCCTGACAAAGTACCACACGCTGGACTGTGTCGGAGTTCTGGAGGTGACACGTCAGAATCAAGGCATCTGCAGGACCTGCTGCCTCTGAGGGAGCTGGGCAGGACCCCGGCCTCCCTCCCAGCTTCTAGAGGTTGGCCGGCCACCTTTGCTCTTCCTTGGCTTCCAGTCCCTGTCGTCACTGTCACCAGCCTTCTCCCCGTGCTGTGTCTCTGCCCACAGTTCCCCTTTTTTCAAGGACAGAAGTTAAGTCAGGGCCCTCCCTATTCCAGGCTGACCTCATCTTAACTGATTACATCTGCAATGACCCTATTTCCAAATAAGGTCACCTTCTGAGATAGTGGGGACCAGAAGCTCAGCCCAGTAGTTTAGAAGAGGACACAGTGCAGCCCACAATAGAGCCCATGAGCCTGGACAGGGAGCCCAGCTGGGGGACAGCCCCGACCTGCTGCAGGCCACTGTGCCATGCAGGACTCTGGAGCCTGCCTGGGGTCTCCTGGAGAAGGGGCTCTCATGCCAACACGGGGAGGGTCTCAGGAAACAGGATGACTCGTCACTCCCAATGGAGCCCCCACTTCAAATGTTTTGAGAGAAGTCAGAAATTCTGACTTTGTGTGAAATCTCCCAATTTTAAAATGTGCAATGAATTCAACAAACTTAAAAATCCTGTATGGCCCCACCTGAATGTGTCTAGGCTGGGAACAGCCAGTCTGTCATCAACAGAAGATAGACCCAAGAGAGGTCATTCTGGGTTCCGCTCCATTCACAAGAACCGGGTAGACAAAGCATGGCGTTGTGTTGAAGTGGGCGAGGACACGCAGGGGTATTCACAGTTCAGTGAATTTTGCTGCCGTGCCTACGGGACGCCTTCCACGGGGCAGGGCGGAGGGTAGGACTCTGCAGATAGTGGCCGTGACAGCTCATTACAAGGCCCTGCTTCACTCACAGCTTTTCAGGTCGACTTCCTGGGCCCCTGCTGCAGACAGGGAGGCTTCATGGCCGGGGGTGACGTTGACAAATTGTCTTCTAGTTGGTGACCCAGGAGAAAGGACCCTGGATGGAGGATGATGAGAAGGCGGAGAGTACCAGGCAGGGTA